ATGCAAAGTAGTCAGCAAAAACTTATCACCAAGAACACAGAAGGCACTATCCCAGAATAAAAGATGAACCCATATTGTACTAAAATTTAGAGCATCTTTTCATCCAATTACATTAGGACAGAGAAAAGGAAAGCCTCAGATGGGGAGGAGATATTTGCAATAAATATAGTTGTTAAATAACTCCTACCCAAAATGTAAAAAGAACTCCTACAAATCAATAAGAAAATGATAGGCAATTCGTTTTTTTTTAATTTTCAAAATACTAACCAGGCACTTCACACATACAGGCAATTTAAGCACACACACGCAAATACCTGAAATACCCATAGGGGCCCATAAACATTTTTAAAAAGGGTTCAGAATCATTTCCTGTTAGAGAAAGGCAAATCAAAACCTCAAAGAGGTAGACCTGGCTGTCCGAATTGCCAAAATTAAGCGTGGGGAAGCATGTAGTGCTGGCGACAGTATGGAGCAAGGTGGAGTGCAAATTGGAACCGCTACTTTGGGAAACCATTTGGTAGTACCGTACCTGCTAAGACCAAACATACGCCTGTCTGGGAGCACTTCCACTCCAGGGTAGGCACCTGCAGATATGCGTTCCCCCTTCTACCAAGGTACTTGTACAATAATCTCCCCACTTTGCTTATAATCGCCATTAACTCAGTACGACCCAAATGTCCTTCAGCTGTAGGATGGATAATAAATTGGTATATTCACATCCGGGAATATTACAAAGCAATAAAAAACACAAATTACTGAGACATATAACAACACAGAAGGGTCTCAAATCATACCACTGAGCAAAAAAATTAAAAAAAAACACATACACATGAAAGAAAATATATGAAGTATGGCTCCATTTAGGATGTTTAGAAACAGTCAAAACCAACTTGTATTGATAGACAATATAATAGTGATCACTGTTGGAGGGTATTGTCCAAGAGGGACTCATAGGAGCTTTCTGGGTGCTGAAAACCTTCTACATCTCCACCAAGATCTCCAGGGATGTACACATATGTAAAATTCATTTAAAATGTGTGCAATGGTCTATATGTGAGTTGTGTCTCAACTAAAGCAAAACCACTTTGAGCACAGGAGGAAGGTGTCAGTAGTTGTGGAAAGAGTTTGAAACATCCTCCTCCTCAAATGCATCACATCCATCTTATTATGTCTCTGAGATATTCCCATACATACAAAGCCTTCCTTTAAAATCTGTAAATACATGTTTTATAAAATAGAAAGCACAGGACTTAAGCATGGGATGAGGCAACATTCATTCAGGTGACAAAGCCTATCTTCGGGTCTGTCTTGTGCCTGACGAGGGGTGTCCAGTGGTGAACAAGGCGGGTGTGGGCCCTGCCGTCCCACAAGGAGACTCCAGTGTGGGAAAAGCAAGTGAACAGTCGCAAATTCTGGCAGGTGCGCAGTGAGGAAAGGCAAGCACACGCTGTGGGGACAGGGACTCAGAGTGGGGGCGTCGGGGTCAGAAGGCCTCCCTGCACATTGAAGTAGTGCAGGAGAACCCCTGGCAGGCAGCAGGGGTGACAGCCGTGGTTTGGAAAGCCCTTGTCATGTTGGAGGAGCCTGAAGGGTGCCCTGAGTGTGGCAGAGGCCCTGGAAGGAGGGCAAGTATGGCCCCAGGTGCGGTAGGGAAAGCGGGCAGGGCCTGGGCTCTGTGGCACTTGGTAGGACAAACTAGGGGGCTAGGAATTCATTTTAAGTTCAAGGAGAAGAGTTTGTAGCCAGGGAATTACATGACCCACTTCATCGTGTGAGACATTCTGCTCTAATAGAAACTTCCTGACTCCCAGCCACAGCCCTGAAGGTCCACATACTCCAATGTGGGGGCTTGACCCCATTGTCCACTTTAGGCTTCAAACAATTGCTTTGAATAGCTGTGTGCCTTACTGCAGTATTATCTACCTAATGCATTCTCAGTAGCTGACATCAATATGCAGTGTCTTGCCTGGTTCTAGAAAAGCTTTTTTTTTTTCTATCTCTACCCAAGTCATTTAGAAGGCCTTGGTACAGGAAAGGAGGGACAGAGCAGATGATGAAGAATGATAAGTCAGTGTTTCAGGATAACATTCATTTAGCTGCTGGTACAGACTGTCCCTGTCAGAAGCCACCATGCGGAGCGTCACTGAACACTTGGCAGACTTTCCCCTTAAACTTATGTAATCTGAGAAAGGGAAAATTTCAAGCAAAAGGTTTTCTGTCAAACTCATTCAACTGCACCTTTCAGAAATAGTCTGGGGTGAAAATTATTGGAGTTGATAGCGAGCCTTTTATGTCTCTAAAAGGAGGTCAAGTTTAATTCTGTGTGTGTGTGTGTGTGTGTGTGTGCCGAAGTGCATTTAGTATAAGGTGGAAACAGGAAATCCAGAACAGGCTGAAATGGCTGAAATATTTTGTGCTGAAACTTGCCTTGCACAATACCTCCTTGACTCCTTTGCATTATTTTCCATTCTCACCAAGAACTGAGTTTGAAAACTTTTAGGGCTGGACGGAAGTGATTAGTCCCAGTCATTAAGGAAGCCAGGATTGTTTCCAAAACAGCCTTTGTATTTACCTAGGAGGTCATTTTATTCTTAAAGCAAGATTTACAGCTGTCAAGCTCAGGAACCTAGAGCACTTGGTGAGCTGCAGGGGCTACAATGGTGTGAGCTGCAGCCCCTCTTCAGGGTGGAGGCACTCAGGCCCCCACATGGGGTGCTGGTGACTCCACTGAGGGACCAGACATGACTGAGCTGAAGAGATCCTCCCACCCACAGCCACACTGCCCACCCCAGGGACATTCTGCATGCAGTGACTAGTCACATGGGTGAGAAGTCCCTGTCCTACAACTCTGGAGGGTCACCCAGGCTGCAGAGCCACTTGTGGGGTCAGCTTAGGCCTCTGCATCTCTGTACAGCTCTTCCCTCTGCCTAAACACACGGCCTTCACTCCCACAGGTGCGGACCTAAAGGCTCTGTAGTGGAAATGGAAGCTCCTATGGCCGGGATCCTCACCTGATCCTAAACTACTTGATGATGTAATTGGCCTCCTGCTAGGCTACTGCTTCCACACTGGAGGCAATAAGCTATTATTGACTGAGTCATTATATAAAGAGCTCTGCCCAGAGACAGAGGCAGAGACAGAGACAGAGAAGGATTGCAGATATGCAGACTTCTAGACACAGACATAATTCTAGTGCTCTACCTACCACCGGAAGAACAAAGCTGGGTAATTAACCCTTTTACCCCAAGAACATTCCATTGTCATTTCTCAGTCTCACTGAATCCATAGTGAACTTGCCCGGGGCTGCAACCCACTGGCAAGACAGCTTCCAACAATCTACTTGTGTGCGCAACTCCCTCTCAGAGTCTGTGTCCCAGAAAATCTAAACTCACACTTACATCCTTAATGGCTTCCTCTCCATCACTTTGAGCTCTTGGAATTGTTCAACCTTTTTCCATCCATCCCACTGCCTTTGCATTCCTAACACAGGCTAGTTATACCAGAGGTTAGAAGCTTTTCCAAAATCAACAGCAAATTTCCACTCCATGCTTTCTTTGCATTGTATGTGAGCTCAGGGTGGGTGGAACAGCAGTCCTGGTAACCTGGCCCAGAGTCCCATGGTGGAGAAAAGAGGGCTTCGCCCAATCATTCCTGTTTGGGCTTTGAGAAGACTAATGAGCAGCTGTTCGGCTGTAGTCAGGGACCCTCATGAAAAACACAGACAGACCTGTGGCAGGGAGGGCAGGATCCAAATTCTGGCTCAGCCTTGTATATGAAAGAGAGATTGAAATTGTGTTTTGACTTTAGACAAGTTACTAAAGTCCATGAAACTCAATTTCATCTACTATAATATGGGTAAAAAACCCACCTTTGTCATGAGGACTTAAAAAAATAATACTAATAACAGTAGCAATTATTGGCAACTAAATTCACATATTTTGGTGCCACATGACCTGGGTTTGAACCTCAGCTCTGCAGCTTAGTAAACTTGTGGTGTTCTGCAAGTTCCTTGACCTAAGTCTTGGTTTGCACACCTGCCGAGAGGGCAGGGTATTAGTACCTATTTCATAGAAAAAGGAGGTATTAAATGAGTAAACACATGGAGGGCTGGGCTCCTAGGGAGTCCACACCAAGGCTGTGTATGCATCAGGCCCCATGCGGAGCAGTTGATATTCACACTCACTTAATAGTGGAGCTTTCACTGCTCCCATTTTTCATAAGGAATGGTGACTGGTTAATGAATGCCTACTCTTTGGCAGGTACTCCTCTAAAAGTATCTTTACATTCTCATTTAATTACTTCAGTGATCTTATGAGGAAGGTACTGATGTCCCTATTTTGCAAGTGAGGCAACAAAAACCCAGAGGAATTGAGTTCTTAATGTTCAAAAGGTGGTCCATGCACTGCCTGTATCAGCAAGGCAGGAGGCAGGGGGCTGGTTAGAGATGCAGAATCTCAGCTCCAGCCTCCTACTGACCCAGCCTTGATCTACTGGATCATAATCTGCATTTGAACAAGATTCTTACTCCCAGGATTCCCATGCACCTTGCAGTTTAAAAACCCCTCTCACCAGGCAAATCATATCCATAGCAGAGCTATGACTGTGGAGCAGATATTTTTAGCCACTTCTACGTATATAGTGCCCATCAGAGAAAGTGCTCAAAGTATATAAATTTCCTTGCCCCAGTAATTATTAATTTGACCAAACTGCCTTCTCTGTACCTATTCACAGTCCATCCTTCCCGTTTTGCTGACCTTGCTGTTTTGGCAAAAATACCCAGGTATTGCTGCCATGCTCCAGGCTCAGATAAAGCTCTGCCAATGACCATTCCAATGATCTCCAGTAAATGTGTTTCCGAATAAGCTACCACGTGATTCCTAGAAAGGCAACTACCCCAGGAGCACACGAGAGTTCTGAGCACCAGCCACTCCCCGCACTACTGGGAGTAACAGGACAGTCTCAGTCAAGCATGCTAATGTAAACTGAGCCAACACAAAACTAAAGCCACCTCCATTTGCTGGGATAAGTGAGCCGCCAGCAAGCCACTGTCTTTATCCTTGTTCTCAGATATCACACTTGGAATATGGGAAGCCATGTTAGGATACTGTTTGCACACTAATGAACCCAGTTGTAGGTGTTGGTTCACAACCCTGGAGGTTCCCCAGGTGAAATCCAGCACTGGCCTCCACACACAGAGGCAAAGAGAGACAGAAGAAAGAGGCAGGCCAGTCCGGACTGGGGGTAGTGGGGAACTTGCAAGGCTTGATCTGGGAGTCCACAAGAGGAGCAGATCTCCACGCCTGCCCATCAGAATCTTAAAGATTTATACAGAGGCCTAAACTTGGTCCAGAGACATATCCAGTCCAGAGGGCCTCATCGACACGCTGCTCTCTCAAAGCTGCATCCTTAAAAACAGCTCCTAATATGGAAAAGGTGGGCAGAATGTACATTCAAATAAAGGGGTGTGAGGAGGAGGAGCCCCCAGTTGCCCAGGTCCAGCTTCTGAGTCAACCATTGGTCACACCTTCTCCATGACTTCATTCATGGTAGGGAGACATAACATTTCCAAAGCCCAGACCTAATTAAACCCTTGATTCTAGTCCTTTGAGCAATAGCAGCAGAAACCCTTTTCCAGCAGATTCTGAAGGATTGAAACGAAGGGCAGATGGTGACCTGCATATAGTGACCAATTCTTCCCTTTACCTTCAACAAATGGATATTATTTAAATACTGTTCACCCCAGTTCAATTACTTTTTGCCATAACTTAGTAGAGGGGTGGTCCATATTATTAAGATTAACTAAAGCATGCATTAGCTTTACAAACTCAAGGAGGAGAACCATCACATGAAGAAATCATACAAGTAAATATGTTAATTTTACAGCTGTTTATAAGTTAAAAGAGTTTCCTGGCTTCAATATACATTGCACTGGTTCAAGCAGAGGACCTGGCCATTCCCCAGATCACCCTGCCAGGCAGGCAACTCCACCCCTCAGAGCCAACAGCCATGTCGCCTACATGGCCAGTAAATGCGAGATCATATAGACTTGAAGTTTTCTAAAATTAGAATCTGATGCTGAACTTGCTAGGTGATAAATGATCCCTTTGGCTTTTGGGTAAAGCATCTCTATTTCTGGGCATAACAAACCCTCTCTCATCCTAATTTCCCCCATGCTAGCAAGGCTTAGCCCCTTCCTTTCAAGGCAATCAGCCCAATTGCCTACTCTCTTTCGGGCAAATCTCCTTTTCTACAGGCCTCAGATCTGGTTTCTGCCAAACTATGATTGCAAAAGCCTCGCAAGTTGTTCAAACCTTCTGAACTGGTGTCCTTATCTGTCAGTTGGCAGTAATGCTGTCTTTATGTAAAACATTAGCACCATGCTTGACATACCATTTGGCATCTACTATGTGTCTTCACTACTTAAGTTGTTTTCGAACCTACTCTTTCTTCTGGCTAGTGGCATCTGGATTTCCTTTAGGGGAGCTACCCACTCCTACTCTAAGTCCTGATGGTCGCTTGGGCTCATAGAGCACCAGGTTCCAGTATATTCCCAATGTCTGAAACCCCAGCCATAATGAATGACTCACGGAGGGTTATATGATACAAGCTGAGTGCATCAGAGGACTTGCTGGTACTGCATTTTTGCTGCTACTAATGGAAAGGAGAATGTTTTTCTAGTGAGATTACTAGTTTGGAAAATATAAACTTGAAGAGCCAGAGCTACCATATGGATAGTTCCTCCCAGAGAATGAAGGCAATCCAGAGGAAAGGAGAACTGAAAGAGAAACGGAGGTTTTTAATGTCATTTTTTGAACATCTATATCAAACAACACCTGAAGTTAATATCCTCTAGAATTTTCTGATGCAAAAAACTTCCCTTTTTTTAAATCCAGTGTAAATGGGGTTTCTTCACTTTCAACTGAAGGAGTGAGAAGCTAAATACTAAAGATAAAGTAATAGGCATAAATGTAAAATTGCTGTTCTCTTTTCCCATTCTCCATGTCCTTATGAGCTTTTAACTTTCTTTTTTTGCCACTAAGATTCTGAAGGGAGGAAAAATAAACCCATGAGTGTAATTTACCATGTGTAGCCAGAAGCTGGAGGGACTGTCTTCATAGCTATCTTCTTGACCAAAAAATATTGATATCCCTTAGCCTGCCCCAGTGCTCAGAGGCTTGTCCTCTTGAAAGCAACATTCTACTTCATAGTTATTCATAGCTTCTCACCTCTGCAGAATTACAGAATTCTTGAACATGGGACTTGAGGTTCTTCTATTAGATGTGTCGCAGCAAACTATGTCACCAGGTACCTGGGTGAAGCCAGAGAGCAAACAAGCAAATGTAGATTTTAAACCTCTATCAAGGTTTCCCACAAATGGTAATCGTGTTGGAAAGAAGTTTCTAACAGCCTGTGCTTTGCAAATGATATCTTTACTGTAGTAATCTCCCCTCGCATACAGAAGTACATGATCTTTTTTGTTGTTTTGTCACAATTTCTAATTGCTAAATATACCTCATTGTGGCCTTTAGCTAGACTATTGCCATCTATGGAATGGTGCTAAATCAGTGTGTTGAAAAGATAGCATAAAGGAGAAGAAACTAATAAAAGTTAGCATCCAAGTCTATTCACTGGAGGAATAATAGTTAACATGTACGGAAAGTCTGTTTCAGGTACTGTCCTTCACATGTTTTTCTCATTTAAACTTCTTGACAATGTATAAATTAAATTCTTATTCTTATTCTTCCATTTTGCAGATGAGGAAGCCTAGATTAGTTAAATAGCCCAAAATTCTGTGCTTCATGCTGAGGCAGTCTGAGTCTGAAGCCTATAGTCTTAAAGGAGACAGGGCACTCCACCCAGTGGGAGGAGCCGTAGCGATGGCATGGTGGCCTTAGTGGCAGTTAACCCATACATTACCGTCAGTGCTGGCACACGTCCTTATTATGTGATCTCACTTAATTCCCACAGGAAACCAGCCAATGTCATGGGGGGTACACTCTACACAAAACAGTCTGGCAGACGTAACACAAAGTGTGAGATTTCAAGAGTGTCAGGAATGCGCAGGCATTACCATTCACTTGAGCCCATGGATTTACTGTAGCCCCACTCTGGGTCTGTCACCAGTTCAGTGGTTCCCAGCAGAGCATGCAGTCTTGTTTAATGTCTAGTGTTGCTTCTGGTCCTGGTACTGCTTTCTAGGAGTTAGGTGCTCAGGCAAGGGGAGCTCAGGTCCTTGTTAGTTCTCCATGTCATCCTTTCTTTCTGGAATTGGACAGTGGAAGTTGGCATTGGGTCCCTTGCATCATAGATCCAGGAACAGAATGAAATATGAGAAAGAAAGGGGCTCAGTCCCCTGTGCTCAGACAGGATTGCATCTGATCTGTTCAGGGCCCAGAGGCAGCTAACCAAGTTGTAAATACTGGAGAAAATCATAACAAAACAAATGAGACCCCAAAATGCAAATGTGCAAAGTTCAAGTCCCTATTCTGAGATTGATGAGTGACTGGGTGAGTGTGTGGGGCTAGCCAGCCTTGGGTCCTAGAGCCTGGCTGTGATACAATACCACCTGAAAGTGGTTGTCCTCTCCAGTAGGGACATGGCTCTCCTGGATGCCCAGGATGGCAGCAATGTTTCAAGGGACCTCTTTGTAGATATCGGCCCAGTTTGGGAAGATTAGGCGAGGGGGATCCTGAGAACATGGGACCCACCTGCCCTTGCCAGCATCTGGAGACAGGTTGCCTGCCGTGTCCCCACTGACCCTTCCCTCCCTTCCTCATCCTCCTTTCTCCCCTTCCTGTACCTCTGAAGATAAACATTTGACCTGCTCCTATTTGTGTTCGGGAGCTTGATGGGAGCTGGGAGCCAGTTACCAGACATTCATCTCGGGTTCTCTCAGGAGCCTCACAGTGGAGTTCTATATGAATGGGTTTTGAAGCACTTCCTGAGTTTGTCTGAGCTATTCCCATCAATTCTTAAACAGCCTCCCCTAAAGAAACCTCTACTTTGTGCCTAACACAACCCTTTCAGTTTTATTTAGGATTATATTGTTATTATTACTCAGGGAAGGGGAGTTTGATCCTTTCAATGGTTACACTAAAAAAATAAAAAAGGGAAGAAAGGAAATTACTCATAGAATACAAATGATGTTTGTGATCATCAGTTAGAATTTTTGTCATTTATTTAACAAGATCATCCCTATTTTTTTATGGATTGATGTAAAGAAAAATCTACAACTTCCCTTGATTCTTATTGGCCCTTGATGATTACTCAGTTTCTCAGCCCTGTCTAAAGCCTCTTGCTGCATCACTATGTTTACTGTTTATCTGTCTCCTGAGGCTCAGAGCCTACTCCCAAATCACATCTCAGCCTAGTTCATAGGCCAGCTGCTGCTGCTCAGGGTCTAGCCAAAATATAGCTGCATCCCTCTCAGGGTTTTCTCATTTCTCCTGTGAACCAAAGGCTTTGATTCTCAGTTCTAGTTTTAATTGGCTGACCAAGTTATTTATTTCCATATATAAGCAATCTCTCTGCAGTATTTTTGAATCACTAAAGACAAGTTACCTTTCCTTTGCTTTTGGAATTAGCTATGCATATACCCCAGCTGTTATACAGACCTGGCCCCTGCTTCTACAGCTAGACTTGAGGTGATTTTATTTGTTATCTAGTTCTGTTTAATAATTACCACCAAGTTAGTAGTTTAAACAACACACACTTCTTACCTCCATTTTTGTGTGTCAGGAATCCAGCTTAACTGGGTCCTTTACCTAGGGCCTTTCACAAGGCTGCATCAGGTTGCTGATAGGGCTGGTGTCTCCTCTGAAAGCCTGAATGGGGAAGGATTTACTTTCGGGCTCATTCAGGTTGTTGGCAGAATTCTGTTCCACAGGGGCTGCTGGACTGAGGGCCTCAGATTCTTGCTATCTGTTGGCCAGATGCCACCCTCAGTTCCTTGCCACATGGGCCTCTCCAACATGTGCATTGTTTGAGCAAAGTCTGCTAGCAAGCCATGAAAATAACATCCCATCACTTCTGCCATGTCCTATTGATCAGAACCAAATCACCAGATCCAAGACACTCAAGGACGTAATGGGCTGATCACATGAGCTCATGAAGATCAGGAAGTGCACATCATCAGGGGACCCAGCTTAGAAGCTAATACAGTGTTGGTGGGAAATGAAGAAGCCACTCTGACCCAACAGTCATCTCTACGTTTCTTCTGCATTCACGGAAGAACTACTTACCTTCTTGTTTCTTAAACAGAAGAAGTCTAGGAAGGTAACATTGGTTTCATTGTGATCATCTATGTCTTAGAAGTCAGGTCTGTTCTAACTAAGAGATTTCTCCACACTCCGGACGCCGATTATCCTTAACAACTTGGATGACAGACAAGTACCACCTATTAAATATATTCAAGACAGAACTTACATTATATTTGCCAAAAACTCCTCTTCCTTTCTCAGAAAATAGACAACTTTATCCCAATTCCTTAAGCCAGAAACTAAGAAATTACCCCTGACTCCTTCCTGTCTCACTCTGCCTTCATGAAATAAAATACAAATATGAAGTAAACAAATATCTTGATAAAATATGATAGGTTATGTGGAAGGTGACCCATGGCAAAAGGGGTAGTTATTTGATTATGATGGAGCAACAAGGAAATTCCCATGTGATCTGGGTAAAATTAATTTACCTAAAATCTTGTTTTTTTAACCATAAAAGAAGGGATAACGATAGACATGTCAAAGAGTTGTTTTAAGGATAAAATGAAAAGATATCTGTAAAAAGCTTAGTATATTATCTTACATGTTATGAGTTCTCAGTATATGTTCACTAATATACCAGCTATTAGAAAGTGACATTGTTTGGTCACAAACTTAACTCTCAGTCTCTTCTCTCTTACAGCCTCCACTAGAAGCTAAAAAGAGAAATATAGTTTCCCAACCTCTCCTGAATCGGGGTATGCCCAGGGCACATAGTTCTTGGAAAACTTTTGTTTTTCTGATGAGAACCTCTTCCTTCCTTGAACAATCACACAGTGTCTGCAACTCTAGCAGCCCCCTGCATTCAGGAGATAACAAGTGGGTCACTGAAGACCGACACACTAAGGATGGGCCCATGGAAAGAATTTGTGTCCCTCATGCCATTGTCCAGCAGGAGAACCAATGGCAATATCCACTTACCTTCAGGCTTCCTGTCACCTAAGAAAAAGAAACCTCTACATGTTTAAGCCATTGCTTGTCAGGCATTCTGTTATTTGCAGTTCTGTTATTTACAGTGAAAAAGCTCTCCTAACAGATACATATTTCAATAGCCTGGAGCTCAAATATCTTAAATTTTAGGCCAAAAATTTTGACCAAGATCACAACTTCTGTCAATCCAAGATTTGATACTCTTTTTCCACGTTAACTGACTTCTTATAGATGGTATAATTCTAAGAATATTGTGTGAACTTTATAGTATGCTCCACTAATTCTTATTATGAATTTATTGCATTTATTTAAAAATTATATTACTGATAGCATAAAGAGCTCCACATGTTCAAGATTCTAATTTTATGCCAAAGAGGCCTCAAGGAGAAGAGGAAAGGTATGAGCAGAAAAGAGGCAGAACCTCTGAGACAACAAAAAAAAGAGGAAGGAGGAAAGTATATTGAGACACTCATATACAACATCAGCTCTTAATTTCCAAAGTTTTTAGAGAATGGATTTTATACTTTGCCTACAGGAGTATATTTAATATGAGGCATTTCTCTTCATTCTGACTCTTCCTAGCAATTCCCAAGAGTGATATTTTAGGATCATAAAAAACATATATAAACATCAAATGGGCAATATGCTATGCAGATTCACATCCAACCAGTGTTAAGTGAAGGGCCCAGTAAGGATTTACCTACTAAAAAATATCTGGTCTACAGCCCTCCCTAGAAATGCCAATACCTGGCTGAAAATGCTGTCATGAGATTTACTAAAGTTGAGATGATACAACAAAGAGGCTGACTCTGGAACTGCAATGGCAGCTAGCTACTTGTGTCTATGGAGCATTTGAAATGTGGCCAGTGCCATGTGTTAAAATGAAAATAATTTGTATATGTTGGAATAAAATAAAATATGTTCTAAAATTAATTTGCCTGTTTCTTTTAATTTATTTTAATATAGTCACTAGAAATTTTTTAATTATACATGTGGCTCTGGCTATATTTTTATTAAAGAGTACTGTGCTTAGAGCATGATGGCTCTCATTAGCACAGTGGCCCAACTTCAGTTACCAGATTGAAGAACTGAGCTCTAAAGAGGTTTTTATTGTGTGTATATGTATATACAAATAAGTAAATGCACAGGATATGTGCATTTCCATGTCGAAAAGAATAGGTCTAAGCAGAAAGAGGGCATGATTCTGACAGAGAACATGCTTAATTGGTTTATGAGGGGATGGGGGAATCGAGAAAAAAGGGGAAATACTTATTGGCTCCAAAATCACATCTGGTCCATGGTACAATCCCACCGGAAGCCCATTACATCTACCTCGTTGGGTTGTTCTCTGTTTCTGGTACTATTTGATCACCTCAGTCACCCTCTCAAGGACATCTGGTCTCCGTGAGCTATTTTACTTGGCAGCTTCTCCAGTCCCTGCCATGACTCCCATGTGATGGAGTATGTTAATGCCCTGGAGCCTCTGCTATGGAATTCAAATTGCAAGGTGAGTAAATGGAGGCAAAATGAAAAATGTTTTCTGCAGAGGGAAGACATAGGCTGTTAACTCAGACACAGGACTGCTGAACTGTTCTTGAAATGAGCTGCAGGCAGAGCATCTCATCCATCTTCTGCTTGATGTCTTTAAGGCCTCCATCCCCTGGGTCATATTGTCAGTTTCCATTAAGAGCCTGGAGCCCTGTAGCACTTTCTCTCTGAAGAGTGTTGGCTCTGTTGGAGAAGACCATTAAATGAACACGTCAGCAGAGCTTTAATAAACAATCAGATTCACAGCCCAGTAGGAGAATTACAATCCCCTAAAGTAATAGATTTAAAAGCCCACTAGGCCCAAGTTGTGGGTCAGCAAAATCATTTGCATCCAAATGATTTGGGCAAACAGCCATTATATCATCTAGTGGTGTTTGTGGGTTCCTTTTAAATTTAGTTCTACTTGAGAGCATCAAAAGACACATTTTCCAGATGATAAGATTTTGTGTTTTATAATGCTCTATGAGCCAAACCCAAAACCTTTCACATTTTTTTAAATTAATGAAGCGAAAAGAAAATACATTTACTTGGGAGTGGAGTTACCAGTCAGATTTGAAGTATGTTTAACTCCAACAAATGCCGTAAGTGTAGAGGTCTCCTGGCAAGGGTTTCTCCATCCATTGTAGTAGGAGCTGAGCTATTCTGGGGCCTAAGGTCTTCAGGCAGGCTCAGTTAGTGTGAAAGGGAGGCTAAGAGCCACCCAAGCACTAAACCCTGAATGGGGAAGAAAGAGTCCCCTTCCCCTGCCCCAAACCAGTTGGTGAATAGTTACCTGTAAGGTCATATAGATGACTATTGTGTATGAATCAAAAAGCTGGAATTGCAGAAAAGCCTTCTGTAACAGAGTATTAAGCTGATAGCACACCTCCATTGCCTGTGGACAGCATCAGGGATGGTAGGACCAAGAGTCAGAAGACAGAATGCTGTGGCTCAAGTTTCTAAGGAAACTCACCTACCTCAACAAAGATTTCCTTTTCTGTGTTTACTTGGGAAGGCCAGCCAAGTCATGGCTGGGGAAGTCCTTGGCAACGTCTCTACCACTCCTTCACAGAAGAACATGGGAACCCATTGACTCACTTGGTAAGAAAGACAGTGTGATGCCTGATGGTGGTGAAACTGTTCCCTTGAAGAGTGCAGTCAACTCTTCAGTTTTTCAGGTACGACAGCTTGACTCTGGGATTTGGCCAGTACACTAGGTTCAATTGCATCTTCCCTGTAGTGTCTATGAAGTCACTTAACTACTACAGCAGATGCTATTGGTTGCTTTTCTCCCAACTATTTACATCATATTTTTTTCCTTGCTTGCAGAGCTTATTGTGTGTATATGTATATATAAATAAATATATTACATATATACATAAATTATATCATATATATATTATATATATACATACACACATATATAATGGAATATACATATTATATTATAGAAGCTAACAATGTCAGATACTTTCCAGTATCTTGAAACTAGAACATAATTCATAGAACCTGAGGGGAAGTCTACAGTGCATTTTCTGGGATAGGGTTTCTCCTCTTCCTGTGAAAGGAAATTTAGGTGGAGAACTACCCCCTTTTGTTCCCTATTTTAGACTCCAATGGCTGCTGTAACAAATTACCACAAACTTTGTGGCTTATAATAGAAATGTATTCTCTCATAGATCTGGAGGCCAGAAGCCCAAACTCAGTATCACTGGGTCAACAGCAAGGTCTCTGCATGACCACACTCCCTCCAGATCCCCTGGGGAAGCACCTGTTTCTTGCCGCTTTCAACATCTGGTGAACATGACTAAGCTAAATGTAAATGGCTCTTTAGTTTGTGGCCACATCACTCTAATTTCTGCCTCTTGTATTCACATTGCCTCCTCTTCTTCTGTGTATGTCAAATCTTCCTCTGCCCCTCTTATAGGGACACTTGTGATGGCATTCAAGGCTCACTTAGATAATCTAGGACAATTTCTCCATCTTCATCCCTAATTTAGTCACATCTCAAAGTCCTTTTTTTGCCATATAAAATAACATTCACAAGTTCCAGGGATTAGGATGTAGTTATCTTTTGGAGAGTCATTATTCAGCCTACCTCACTCCATGTGGAAGTGGAGGAAGGATAAAATGTCTGGAGCTATGGCAGCCACTAACAAGCAAAGAGGTAAAAGCCTGAGGTCGCCAGAGCAGAAAGAAGGATTGCGGTTGGATTTCTGACATGGTTATGCTGCTGACATAACCAAGCCTGGAATCACCTCCTGGGGTTGCCTTTAAGTGAGATAACAGATCCCATTATTTAAGCTACTTAGAGTTGAGCATAACATTACTTAGAGCTTAATACTTCTTGATGGATATGGCTACTGTTTGTGTTTACCTAAGAAGATCATAAGGGCAAAGATGATAAGCTAAATATAAATGGCTCACATTTGCCATTAATCTTATCAGAGATTTTCTGATTCACATAACCTTTTTATTTTATCCCCTTTTGTAATATTCTATAATAGAATTGTTTTCCTGCATATGTATTATTGCCCTAACAAAATAAAGGGTTTAAACTTCAGCATTTTATTAAAAAAATAATAATAATAATAAGGGAGAAATGTGGGATTCACATATAAATCAAGCATAAAAATCAAATGAGTAATCATATCTGACTTGATTATTTATAGTTCATGATGCGTGATCAAAACCGAAAGTTCTGTGATATGACTGCCCTTGTACTGTTCACCATCTAAGAACTTATTCACTATGTAAGAACTTGTTCACCATTTAAGAACTTGTTCCTTATGCTTCAGAAGATTGGAGACTGTTGAGAATTAGGCTTGGGGTTGATTAATGATTGTGCATTGAGTCCCCTATACAGAATTTTATTGTTGTTAACAACCATTTGATCAATAAATATGAGAGATGCCCTCTCAAAAAAAATAAAAATAAAAAATAAAATAAAAGGTTTAAATGAGAACCAGGATGCCAAATCAAATGACTCTTACCTGTGACACACTGCTGGGGCAAAGGAAACACTCATTAAATAACAAGCTACTTGATCAGTTTGAATATTAAATTCCTTCATTAAAATTGATTTCATTTGGATTATTTGTGTATTTCCAATGTAAATGATAACATAGTCCCCTCTAAGAATTAATAACTACCCTGTGTTTACATTTCATATGCAGAATATGATTACCATTATTTTTCTGAGTGTTTATACTTCTCCAAGTACTATGCCAGGCAAAAAACATTCCCCCGCACTCCACAACATACACACACATGCATTTTTTATTTACTTCTCACAGCATTCTTCGAATATTTGTCTCCAGCTTACAGATGGAGAATGTGAAATACATATTGACCACATAACTTACTCAGAATCACAAAGCTAATAAGGGCTTATACCAGAGTCTAGATTCATACCCATAACCTTCCGGTTGCAGATTCTATGAGCTAACTCACACAGACTGTCTCCCATCATGCTATACTATTTCTACAAAGTAATTCAAGATCTACCTCTAAAAGATTTGGGGGAAAAGGATTTAACAAAAGGAAAATAAAAAAAATAAATAAATGCACATCAGTTGGGTTGATTGCCTTCCCCCTTATCTAAAGTCTAGATAAAGAAGAAAGAGAGGGAAGGTACTGGGGAAGAGCAGAGGGAATTGGAAGGGGGAAGACCTTTTGGACATCTGAGAATGACCCTTTAGATTGACAACCACAGGAACCATGGCCACCCACTTTAGTAGAAATCACTGGTTTCCACCTATAGTAATGTATTTGCAAGTGAACACCCCCAATCACCAGCATTTCAGAACTGAGGCTGAGTTAGCTCCTCAAGGTCACTATGGAAGTGTCACTGCCTAAAAGCAAGCAGAAAAGTCATCCAGTACAGGGGAGGAGTTTCCCCAGTGGTGACCTTTAAAGGATTGACAGGCATTAAGGCTGAAGTCCTGCTTTTTCAAAATACATACTGCATATATGTATTAGTTATGTATTTATATAGAATTATATATAATTGTGTGTATGTTTACACATCTTCTAAGACATTAACTAATAAGCAATCTGCAGAATAACACTTACAATATAAATACCATTTGTAAAAAAAAGAAAACCGCTAGAATATTCTTCTCTTGCCTTACTCTACCTTGGAAATTTCCAGAATTTACCAATTCCAATAAAATTCAAAAACCTATCCCAACTCCAAGCATTTTTTTGTCCCCAGCCAGTTTTTAAATACAATAGTGGTATCTCATGGAGTCATCATTAATGATTCTAACTCTTTCTAGAAACACTAAACAGGATAGAAATTTAAAAATTATTTAAAAATTGTAAACCTTTTTCTGTCTAGAGACCATGGCATTTCAACAACTTCTCAATGACCAAGATACGTAAACCTTTTCATTCATGAGTCAACATGAATTAACTATTTATTCCAGAAAATTCTTGCCTAGGAAAATGAGATGGTTAACCAGTACGTAACTTGATCTGTGTCAGGAAATTCCTGCAAACACATTTGTCCTGACAGAATTTGCTTAAAAGCAGAAGCGATTCTCCTGTTGAGACAACGCAGCACTCACCTGGGCAAATGGCTCATTGATCAAACAGCAGTTTATTTTTCTAGACTCAAGCTTTGTTGTATCAACAAATCCAAAATGTATGATGCCACAAACTTTGTCCAATCAGTTCTCTGCCTTTAAAGACCTGCCTTAAACCACTTGACCCCAAACAACAAAGTCTTACAAATAACTTCTCATGACCTCCCTTATGGGACAGGATAAGACGTTGTGAAAGTGGAGCTCTCCTTCACTGCAGTGAGCCTAATAAACATAGCTTTGCTTGATCAGTAGGTTTTCTGGTGTTCTTTTGAGGAGCTGACAGTGAATGTGTCTACCAGTCTACGAATGAAATCGTTTCCTTAAACAGGATCCATTATGTTCCAGATTCTGGTCTGGTCCGTGAGGACAGTTGTAGGTGAGGGGTCATGAATGGTGGCTTGCTCTTATCTGACATTTTCATTTTCAGGTTCCCAAAGGCCACTCTGGGGGTTCCTGTTCCCACTTGTTCTCAAAGAGTGGTTCTTCCCACTGTGGAGAAAGCACTTTTTGGAAAATTGGAGAATTGCTCCACCCAGTAGCTGTATGGGGAGTCGTGTTTCCTTTGTGTCCCTGGTGCCAGGCATAGTACCTAGTTTCCACTTGTCTCAAAACCCA